AGAAATTTAGTTTGACATCCATTTCTTCTTCAAAAAGACTGTACAAAGATATTAGTGATTAAATGAGTTTTCACCGAATTACTGTTAAGTATTCTAGCTTTATTCTATAACATGGAAAAATCTGACAGAAAGTATAAAGAAAAAATTTCAAATTTAAAATAATGAATTTTGATCCACAACTTTTCTTGTTTTCTTCCTTCCTTCCTCCTTCCCTTCCTCCCTCTCTTTCTCTCCTTCCTGCCTTCCACCACATAAAATCTTACCAAAATTATCATAATGTTCAGTGTATAAATTAATGCAGACCTATAAAATTTGTCTCCTGAGACCAATGACTTACCAGTTTTTATTGTTAAAAGTGGATTTTGTGGCATTTGAAAGTGTTTTCAGCTCTGAAGAGGAAGTTACTTGAGTCACATAATATACTTAGGGCCTATATGAAAAGTTATATATTTAGTGGAGAAAGCAATAAGTGTGTGCTCAGGCAAGTCATTTAATATTTTGGGTTTCAGTTTCCTCACCTATAAAATCAGTAGCTTAGCTTGGATGATCAATACACTGAAAAATGTTCATGGTGGCCAACTCTGTTGTTGGTAAATGTGTTACTCCAGCCTGTCCCGACTTCAGTTAATTAGCATCATCCTTCAGCGTGAAAGTTAAATATCTAGACAGTGTTCCAGCAACTTTTTTCTTTTTTTTTTGAGACAGGACCTCACTAGTAATTGGGCTGGGCTTGAACTCACTATGTAGCCCAGGCTGACTTTGAACTCACAGTGATCCTCCTGCATCAGCCTGGTGAATGCTGGGATTACACATGTGCATCACCATGCCCAGCTGTAGCAACTTTTTGAATTATGTTTAAGATAGTCTGTAGTCATGCTCTATAGAATATAGCAAAGCATATTTTTCTTTTGTTCTTTTGATACTTGTGTAGTTTTTTTTTTTAATTGTGCTCTCCTTTTTAAATAATACATGACTAAAAAATGAAGTAGAGGCTGCTTATGAAGTAGCATGATAAGTAGAGTCAGACTTTGAGTTACTAGTTACTTAGTCTAAATGTTCTCTCTCTTACTCTCCTGTTACTCTGTTGGACATTTTCAGTAGTAGGCAAGGGTCTTGGGAAGCTTTTTTTTTTTTTTAAACTGGGGATTGAACTCAGGACTTGTCCTGCTAGGACAGGCACTTACACGCTAAGGTAAACCCCGGCTTTGGGAAGCCTTTTAAAGGACTGTAGTAGTAAGAGGTGACATAGATGGGCACTTGAGTTTGAATCCTTACCTCATTCTTTAGTAATGGCTCCATGTTTTAGGGTGTTATTTAACCTCTTACATTCTGTTTCTCTTAATACTCAACTAGAGGAGAATTGTAAGATTTTAGGTTTTTGTCTGTTGGTTGGTTGGTTTTTTTTTACTGGGAATCAAGCACAAGACCTTGTGCTTGCCAGGCAGGCACTTATGCCACTGAGCTGTATCTCTGGCCCAAGAATTCAGTTTTGTAGCACACGATCAAGCCTCTCTAGATTCTAAATCTTATCCTTGCCATTTCTACTACTGCAACACTATCACTATTCACACTGAGAATGTATGATAAGGATGCAGAGCATGATTACAGTTAACTTTTAGCCTCATTTTTATCTTAGTCCTTTTAGACTACAATAACAAAATACCATAGGCTAGTGGCTTACATACAATAAAAATTTATTTCTCATAATTCTGAAAGCTGGAAAGTCTAAGATTAAGGCACTAGCAGATTCAGTGTCTGCAGGAGCCCATTTCCTCATAGAGGGGAAACCACATGGTGGAAAGAGTACAGATCACTTCAGATTTTATTTTGGGGCACTAATTTTCTAAGTCTTACCTCTTAATATCACCTTAGTGGTTAGGATTTCAATATACAAATTTGGGGAATGAAAGATGTTTTTTTTTTTTTAAGCACCTAAATAGTTTATTGATCAGTTAGGTGATGAGGTTAGGAGGACAGGATGAGATTTATTTCCAAAATATTACTTTATTGTAAAAAGTTACTAATTTTGGGAGACTTGTGCTAAGAGGACTAAGAATGTGGTCTGAAAATTTGAGTTAGAGGAGTGACGTTAGCTGTTTATCGTCTTTCTGAAGGTTCTATGGCTTGTGGTCCAGATAGCCAAATCTCTCTACATTTATAGTTTGAACATTTCAGGAACCAAGTACTTCCACAGTAAGGGTATCGAGGCCCTCAGACTTTATGTAGTTTAGGGCAGAGTAACTTTTTTTGTAGTGAGAATGGATATGCTCACCTTGCTCCTTGTCCCTGTTTTAAATGAGATACTTAAAAAGACCTGGATTTATAATATATCCTGTTGGGTAAGACAGAGGTTAGAAGTCCTACTCTTAGCTTTCTCATCCCCTTCTAGCACTACCCATATATATAAGCAGAATTGTGCCCTCGACTTATTGCTGCCACTTAAACCTTAAGCAGCAGGAGAAAAACTGCTGCAGCTAATATTAATTAATACCTGTGATACCTGGAGTTAACCAGAGAACACTGACACCATTTCCCTGGGAGTGGAGGCATAACACTCTAGAAGACGAGAACAGAAGTGGGAAAGTACAAAAGACGGTCCTTGCCTTCCGTGTTTTTCTTTCTCATGGAAGGAGGAAAACCTTTCCAAAGTAGGCAAAATGTCCCCACAAACTTGTGTGTTCCCTTACTGATTAGCAGCAGCATTTCTGAACAGTGCTGGAAAGAATAGTAAGTTGGAGTTAGCTGTGGATTCTGGTCCTGTTGTTATCTGTTGGATGTTAGGAGAGTCACCTAATTTTTTTCCTTACTGTGGAAATGGTAAAGATGATATCTGTGCTGAATATCTGGTTAATGTAAGGATCAAAAACTAAAAGGACTAAAGTTCTTTTTATTATTATTTTATTAGATATAATAGTAATTAGTGAACTTGTCTCTTAACACTTTACAATTCCACACAACTCCTGTCTCACTGCCTGCTGTATCTTGCCTGGAGTATTTAGGCATGGGATAGGGAAGAGTGAGTTAACTTCTATCACTCCAGGATATGGACCCCCAGCCTGTTGGGTTACTGATGTCCCTTTTCACTGAGAGCTGTCCAAGACCTTATTTAGGATGCTCTTTTCCCATTTCTCCATGGCAGATTTCTCAGGGATATGTAGAGGTGCCAGGAGAAGCTGGTTGTGCTGTGAGAGGTGTATATGCACACCTGTTACATTTACCCTGGGATAAGAGAGTCAGAGCCATTGTTGCACTTTGATTACTTACTTAAAAAGAAATGGAGCTTTGGTGGTAATTAAGAGTGTTATTTGGCTAGTTGAGAGTTTTTGTATTGGCACTTGTTTAACCACTGATGAGTACACTAATAAGATGGAAATATTGCATGATTTGGAAATGCAGACCCAATTAAGTTATCTTTAGTACATTTTAATGGAGGTACAATTTCAGATAGAACCTAGTATTGATATAAGTATTTAGTGTAACTCTTACTATGTTTGTCTTAATGACTAGCATGAATTAGGCTAAGAAATAACCTACCCATTTTAGATTTCTTTCATGTTTAGAAGTAACTGACAAGAGTCAAAGAATTTTGAAGTTGATAATAAGCCCAGTAAATATCTATTTCAAACCAGTTTGAAAGATTTTAACATATAGCAAGTTAAAGTTTAGTTTTCTTAAGTAGGTACTTTCTTGAGTTCATAAAAATTGGGATAGAACAATAATTTTTAGTTTTTAACTCAACGTAAGAGTTCTTAGAATTAAATCTTAGATTTTCTTAAGAACAAATTGGCCTCAATTTGTTTTTTTAGTTTTGGTAATGATGTGTCTATCTTGTGATTAAGCACATTTTAAGTACCTTAGACTTATTACAGTTGTAAAGAATTTAATTAGGCATTGAAGAAAATGTAATTCTTTGTCTCACGTGAATTGTTGGAGAAGCCAGTATAGGAAAGAAGATGGCAGGAACAAATAGGTCAAACACTGCTATACTAATCAGAGCTGAGAGGTTGTTTTCTTTTGGTATAGTGAAATTAGAGCTGATTAATTAGCCTACTTTGTGATTACTGAAACAGTGTGTCACTATGACAAAAAAAGGAATGAGTATAGAAATAAAACCACCATAGGTTTTTTGCTTATGCTTTTGTAGGAGTATTGATTTATTCATACAACATTCACTATACTTTGAGAAAATCTTTTTGTCAAATACTGCACTAATCTTGAAGAACAAAGATAAAGAGATGCAGTTGTCTTTCTCAGGAAGAGCTGAGCATCTAATAAGAGGAATAGTGAAAAATATTTACAGGATTGTGTCAGAATTTCTAAAGTGGACCTCAAGATATAGAAAATATATAAAACAAGGGATCATAGTTTTCTGACATATCAGAGAAAACCTTATAGAGGAACACATAAAATTGATCTTGAAAGGTAAATTAAATTTGGAGGAAAGAAGGTGTAGTATTGTGTGGGCCGAGAGAACAACTTGCAAAGACAGAGTGAGAATACCACATTAGGGAATACCAGACAAGGTTAAGAAATATGCTAAAAAAATAAGATAGGTGCTACCTTGTGGAAGGACTTCCACACCCCTTTCTTCAGGGGTTCACCAATCAATTGTGAGATGTCAGTAGATTCACTGCATAGAAGAACTGGAAAGATATTGACGATAGTAGAAAATTTTGGTTAGAAGACAACCCAAATAGTGAGTAGTACAAATTGGCAAGGCTGTACCATAAAAGAAGATATGTTACACAAGTGGAAGGAAACAAACATTCCTGAATTCAGATTAAGCCTGGGGATAGTCTAGATTCTAGTAGAAATCATGTGGATAAATGTTGCAGTTTACTTTAAAAGAGAATATAAAATAATTGGGACTTTAGCTTAATGGTTTATAATGGGCTAAGTAGAAAGTAGATTTCTTTATGAATTAACTAGAACTTTTTAGATAGTTTTATTCTGGAAGAATTATATAAACTTTCTAATTATGTTTTCTTCAATTTATTTAGATCAGCTGTTCCATGTGTTAGCCTTGCACATGCGACTTTATACCATTGACTCTGAATATAATCCCTGGAAAAAGCTCACCCAGTTAGCAGAAGATGTGAATTCACAGTAAGTATTATTAAAAGATTAAAATCATTAAAATTCTTTTTGAAAAAATTGCTATTAAATACAAAATAAGATGGAATTTTCTATATGAATATCTAAATACTTCACATTTTATGAAACATGTATGCATACAATAAAAATTGAACACAGTTTGTTGTTATGCTGTTTTAAAGAATTCCGTTTGTTTTTTATGCAGGTGAAGCATTCATATGGAAGCACATGATAGATAGCTGGTTATCCTTTGTATGACAGAATGGATTCAGATCGCCTTAGTCTGTTTCCTCCCTTATAAAGTTTACCTTAGTTCTTCACCTAATGGTTTTAGTAATTCTTGTGATTCACAAACGAGCCCCCAAACTCAAGTTCAAAAAAATGAGGGAAAAACATATTTTAAAAAAGCAGCGCTGATTTATTTTATCCTGGGCCCAGTGACACAGTGCAGTTGAAGTTGCAAAAGCTGTGTGTTGCTTCTCCAGACTTGCAGCCTTTTTGTACATGTGACAGTTTACAAAGTAAGGGGTTATGGGCTTGATCAGGAAATCTGCTAAGGAAATGAGCAAAACCTTTGTTTTCCTTAGCAGAGGATAGAGTAGTCTAGCAGTAATTAACAATTCTTTGTCCACTTATTTTAACACCACATCTGTTATTTGTGGAGGGCTACAATGGTTAACGTATCAATTAGGTTAGATTCCTAGGGATTTAGAATTCTTTACAGAGGAGAGCATTGATTAACATACCAATTAGGTCACCCAGAGAGGGGAAAAAGCGCATACAGTAGGGTACAGCCACTTTACAGGTATTTTGGTATAACGAAGCTCTTTTTGAAGTCTTTTCTTTTATTGACTGAATTGTTTTTAAATTTTATTAGTGTATGTTTGTAGTTCTGCAGTTTACAGTCATCTTTGAGAATGGTACTACAGTTTCTTTCTTTTGTTATCTTTTAATCCTCTCTTTCTTCCTCCTCTAATTCCTCTATCTAGTTTTCATTCTTGTTGAATTAGCTTGTTATGGCATATAGTGTCTATGTGAATTGAGGTTATTACTGGCCTATACAGGGAATATTTTTATTCTACTTGTTTCCTCTCCCCTTCTCATCCTTTGTGCTTTTATCCTTGGGTCACTTCCTTACTGCAAGAGATCCAGCTCCTTGGCCCCTTCTGCTGTCTTTTATTCTTCTATTTGTACTTTGCCTCACTCAAATGAGGGATACCATGTGGTATTTAAGCTTGTGTGTCTGACTTATTTCACTCAGCATTATATTTTCCAGGTGCACCTGTTTTCCTACAGATGATTCAACTCTGTCATTCTTCATAGTAAAGTAATATTCCATTATATATAGATACCACATTTTCTTTATCCAGTCATCTAGTTTTGGTCGTACAGTCTATTTCCAGTATTTAGCTATTATGAATTGTGCTGCTATAAACATTGATATGCATGTGTCACTGTACTATGATGTCTTAAGCTGTTTGGGAAACATACCTAGCAAGGGGATCACGGGGTCATCTTTAATTTCTAATTTCAATTCTTTGACCAGTCTCCATACTGATTTCCATAGTGGTTGTAGTGATTTTTACATTTATACCAGAAATAAAAGAGGGCTCCTTTTCACTAAGCCTCACCAGCATTTGTTATTGTTTGGTTTCTTTTTATATTCTTTTTTTTTGCACCAGGGATCAAACTCAGGATCTGCACTTGCCAGGCAGGTGCTGTACTGAGCTAAACACCTGGTGCTATTGTTTGATTTCCTTTTTTTTTTTTTTAATTTTATTTAAGGAGAAAAAAAAAAAAAACACCGAAAAAGGGTACAAGTTATACAGAATTTCAAAAAAACAATAAACAGTAGGGAATCACTAGTTAATAGATTACATATTGTTATCTTAGAAATAGTTGTTCAAGTTATAAAATTATAAAGCATATAAAGCATATAAAGTGGACTTTCAAACAGTGAGACTGCAAACAGTTCTGTTCAATGACCCAACAAAACTCAGTAATATGGTTATCTATCTTATATACTTAAATATACATGCAGTTATATCCTTTAGAGCACTTTCTTTTCTTTTGTACAATGACAATTACACATTTGGGGTTTTATTACTCCCACAGTTCCTATTAGTTTTTTTGAAGAGAGTAAAACCAAATGTGACATAACAGAACAGAGTCAGTCAAATGAAAAGGATGGACATAATACATAATGTAAAAACAAAATACAAGGTGATCAACAATGGTTACCATACTGCCTCTTGCTATCTTAAAAAGAATTGCCTATATCATCAGTTATAATAAAATTGAACAAAACAGTAAAGAATAAAGCCAAAACATTGGAGACATTACAGGATTTTAAAAGAAGATAATAGTCAACAGGAATGGGTGTCATAATGAATCTTACTATCTTCACAGTTGTTGCCTATACTTTCGAACGTGGTACTACCAAGCAAAGCAGAATAGGGGAAAATCAGTCAAAACAAGATGGTGAGGGCAATACAGGGTTTCAAATCAAGTTAATAGGAAATCAAAGTGGGTTACTATAATATATCCTGCTATTTTTTATTTTTCCCTTAATTAAAAAGATAAAAATAAGTAAATAATTAAAAAAAGATTGAGATAAAAGAGGGCATAACAACAAAACAGTGCAGGTCAAAACATAACCATTTAAGCAAAATAGTGTTTCACCACGATATCCTGACATAAAAGTAGTTACTTTTGTGTCTCTTTCCTTCTTTGAGTATAACTTCATATACTGTAGCACCAAACATATCAAGACAATGTAAAACCATTCAAGAGAATGACAGTGTTACAGGGTATTTAGAACCAACTATCAGAAAATGAACAACGGTTTCTGTATAATCTCTTTGTCTATAAAAGTTTTTGTTTATATTATCACATATAACAAAAATCCAATAAGATACAACCTGTTAAGACAGATGGAGACAAAAGAATAAAAGCTTGATGGGACTTCAAAACAAGATGATTCTAAATCAGCACTAATAATGCAGGGCTCCCTGCCAGTCCCACTCTCAACTCCGTTTGGTTTGCCGATTCCCGCTCTCAGAGCTTTCGTGCCTCTTTCTCCCTGCCGTGCTGATTTGGAAGCAGCAGCGGCAGCAGGAAATTCAAAGCGTGGCTTCCAGTGGTGTGGGTTCCAGCTTCCGCACTGAGATTTTATCTGTTCCTGTTATAGCACTGGGATTGCATTTCTAGTTGGTTTCTCTCAGCTTAGTTCGTTCCTGGGTCGGCGGGGTATATCTCCCCTTGCTTAGGACTCCTTGCACTGTACCATTCCTGGATTCTAAGCTGGGTATCGCAGAGAGCCTCCATAGCTGCTGTTATCTATCTGCCATGTTCTCCTGGAAGTCCTTGTTTGATTTCTTAATGAAATTGTGGAGAATTTTAAAATTAGGGCAGAGTTTACTTGTTTGGAATAAGAATAAAAGAATATGTTAATAATAATGTCTTGGGGATTGTGGGGAAGAACCTAGATAGGATGCTCAGACAAGGGAGACAACCTAGACACCTATTAAAGCCAGTGAAAGAACAGATACACAAAAGTAACAATCGTATAAATATAGAAGATCACAAAAGATTGGGAGGCTGAGGCAGGAGGATCGTTATGCGTTCAAGGCCAGCTCAAACTACATAGTGAGACCCTATTTCAAAAACAATCAAACAACTCCACAAAAGAACATAACATAGCCCCACATTATTAAATAAATCTAGAATTATACAAAAACTCAAACCTATAGAATATTCTTTGTTTTTGTCCAGTATTTCCTGGCAGGTTATAGCAGGTTTAGATTCAGGTTATTGATGTTTGGCAGAAGTTTCACAAACTAATGTTCTGTTCTTTTTAATGTGTGTATTATGGTCAACATGAGAAGTTTAGAAGTTATTGTGTTGATATCTACAAAATAGTTTTTAGGGCTTTGATTGGGATTGTATTGAATTTGTAGTTCAACTATGAAAATCTGACATTTTGGTAATATTGACTGTCAGCAAATATGGAATGTCTCTTAATTTATTTCATTCTGAGTTTTGAAGTTTTCCTTGTGTAGCTTTCACACACATATTTTGCTGGGTTCATTTTTATGTATTTCAGTTTTGGGGGTGCTAATGTAAAGACTTTTTAAAAAAAACTCTTATTTGTTTATTACCATTATATAAGACTATAATTGACTTTTGTTTATTAATCTTGTCTTGCATCCTTGTTATAATCTCTGTTTGCTTCCAGGAGTTGGACTCATTTCTTTCATGTTTACTACATAGATAATAATGTTATCTGTGAACAAAGACATTGTATTTTTTTCTTTCCCAGTATGTACATCTCTTGTTCATCTTCTTGTTTTATTGCACTAGCTACTAGCTTTGAGTATGATCTTCAATAGAAGTATGTGTGTGTGAATATCCTTATCTTGTTTATGATCTCAGTGGGGATAGTTGTATATTTTAAAATATCCAGCGTTTGAAAAAGTAACTATCACAAAGATGACATTAAGCCTTGTAATCAAAATTTGTGGTTCACTTAATATGGAGGAGATCACCCAGCCATTCATTCATTCTGATTATATGCCTACCATGTGCTGTGGAAGTGATTATTTTTATCTTACTGGCCCAATAGCACTGTTACTGTTTTGTTATTTTGTGATAATCTTTTACTTATTGCACAGTATTTAGAATTTAAAAAGAAAATGAAAATCAGAAATTATTTTTATTATGTAGTAATTACTGTTAACATTTTTAGATATTTCTTTACAATGGGTACACATATATATGGTTTTTATATTTATTTAAAAAAATTTTTGGTACCAGGAATCAAACTCAGGACCTTATGTTTGTCAGACAAGTACTTGTGCTGCTATCCATAGTGGTACATGTGTTATGAATTGTAAAATACTACTTAATCATAGTATATAAGTTTTAAATATGATTTTTAAATTAACACATAACCAAATTCTTACTTATTGGTTTCTTGTTGTCAATCATTTAGGTTGTTTCTCCTTTTCTAACATAGTATCATATAACATCATGACATATCAGAACTACAAAATAACATCCATATACCATGGCAATGAAAGCACATAAATTTAAATTTTTATTGTTTTATTTGATAAATACTGAGTTTTAGGCTCTGTGTTACATAGTAAAAAATGTCTTTCAAAAGACTATTTGTTGGGCCAATGATGTAGCTGCAGCAGCACAGTGCCTGTCTGGCAAGCATGACACCCTGAATTGATTCCTGGTACCAAAAATGAAAATAATTTTTAAGAAGTCCAAAGAAAACCCTCTTTAAAAAAAAAAAGCCATGTTTTATAAACTTTCACTAGAAATGTGTGTCTCCATTTCTCTAAATCTTGTACGTAAACATTTTCTTTTGGTTAATATGATAAAAATGGGATCTCAAAGTAATAGAAATTTGTTTGATTTTTGACGTTCATTATTTTTTATATTAGCTATTTATATATGCACTTTATGAATTATATTTTCAGAATCTCTTCACTTTTCTGTTTACATCTTTTTTAATGTTATCTGAATAATTTATTATGGTATAAAATACTGAATTGAATTTTATTATGTCATAGTTGCTGGAAGTTTTCCCTGAAATATGTCTATCTTTTAATTTTATAATCACTTTTCTGGACATACTGAAGTTTTTGTTTTTTTTTGAAATTTACTATTTATAAAGGATTTCTTTTTCATAGACATGTGAAATATAAAGTGAATTAGAGATGATATACAGTATTGTCTGAAGTGATTGTTCATTCTTTTAGGTTGGGAAGTGAAGAACATCAGCCTGAAGTTCCAATTCTTTATCATGATGTAACATCTCTTTTGCTCATCCAAATCTTAATGATGCCACAACCCTTACACAAAGGTATGGCTTTATAACTGAGATGCTTAGTTTAGGTACTGTATATTATAACTAGCCTAGACATTATAGAGACAGATACGACATTCATTTTGATGGGATTTTTTTTTGTGAAAAACAGCATTTTTTAAAGTATATGGTAATCATATCAAAGAAGATGACAATGAAATAAAGGTATCTTTTTTTTCAACTTTATTCTTTTCAGCTGTTTAGTCAACAAGAGCTAATAACATGGGGAAGACTATTAAAAATCTTTGTGTTAAAAAAATTGAAGTGATACTACAAAGTATCATTAGATACTACTTTTAATAATATAGTAGATTAAACAGTACAACAAACCTGTCAGCAGTGATGCCTTTATCCTATCTATATACATATGGATTTCAATATAATAGTAGTTAGAAATGTGATGTCCTCTCATTTTATTTTATTTTTATTTATTTATTTTTTGAGACAGGGTCTCTATGCAGTTAGGGCAGGCCTTGAGCTCACTTTGTAACCCAGGCTGGTCTCGAACTCGCAATGATCCTCTGCCTCAGCCTCCTGAGTGCTGGGATTACAAGCATGAGCCACCGTGCTTAGCTCTCTTAATATTGTAACATTTATTAGATGTATTAGTACTTTACTGGCAAAATTGTTTTTCTGTAGTCTTCAAGTTTTCACTTGGAGACATTTAATATATTCTATTAAATAACATTTTTAATTGTTGGAGATGTTTTTATCTATCATAAGTTTATAGTAGAATAAACATCTCTGGATATATAAAGACATTGTTCTTTGTACTTCAACTTGATCATTTGATAAAATGTTTTACCTAATAGTTTGAAATGATCATTTAGATACAGGAAAATTATGGTATTTCATGTAAATTATAATATTCTATAGCGTATAATACTGTCATTAATAAATAAGCATATTTTATTTTTATAAGCAATATGAATTTTTTTTGGTACCAGGAATCAAACTCAGGACCTTGCACTTGCCAGGCAATGACTGTGCCACTGTGCGATACCCATTGCCCACAATATGAATTTTGAATTAGTATATTTTGGTTATGCAGTTCATACAACATAAGATTTACTATTTAGACAATTTTAAGGTATACAGTTGCTGTGGCATTTAGTGCACTCCCAGTATTGTGCAGCCGTCACCATTACCTAAGTCCACAACATGTTCCTCAACTTCGGGGAAACATCCCTGAGAAGCAGCTGCTCCATGTGTCTTCCTTTCACTAACATTCACATAGTTTTGACTGTTACTACTTTTTGGATTTGCCTGAGTGTATGGATTTAATTATTTATATTTGTAGACTTTAAAATTTGTATCTGTGAGAGCCAGTGCAATTCATCTCTGCAAAACTAATTTCAGATTCTTTAGGTTTTTGTGTTACTTTGGTTGGTATTCCTTAGTTTGAGGAAACTGTTGCCTAAGGGTCATGCTGACTTACTGTTTATTGTGTTTTTTCAATCATGCTAGTCCTGTTTTGAAATACAAAAAGTTACTTTGTTTCTAGCATTAAAATATTTAAATATTTTATTTAAATGCACTTTTTATTTAGAAATATAAGTATTACATAAACTGGAAAAACTAAAAGGAAATAAACTATTAGAAATATTTTTGTTTTCATAATCAATATTTAGTCTAAAGAGAAGCTACTTAGAGGTAAATGACCTGTATGTGAGAGCCTAATAGCTGGTATAGTACCGTCAGAAGGAATGGTTAGCACTAACTTATGGCAAAAGTTGAAGGTTGTGTGGAAAGGGAAATGTAATACACTGAATTATTAGAACCTGCAGGATTTAATTCAACAGAAATGGATCCTAAGATTGTGCTCTAATGTGAGTCAAGAAAATGGGTTTAATAATGAATAAATAAATGGAATAGATTGAAGAAAACATTTGTATAAAAATGTGTAATGTTGTTAATAAATGTGGCTTAAAGTAATATTTAAAAAGCAGGTTTTTAAGTATTTAGTATGCAAATGTTTATTTATTACTTAATCTTGGAAGTCATTGCCTGGTTTCAGAGTACCTATAATGTGCTGGATTGATGTGCTTCTTTACTAGATGCTGGAGATACAAAGATAAATAAAATGCAGACTTTGCCCTTAGGGAACATAATTATTACATAAACCAGTAAAACGTAAAGGAAATAAACTATTAGAAGTATTTTTATTTTCATAATCAATATCTAGTATAAAGAATTTAGCAGTTACTAAATTTATCTATGATTACAATTACCTAAACCTGTGCATTGTTTTATTTCACAATAATTCTGGATTATCTGTGTTAGCTTTCTACCACCGTTATAAAATACCTGAGACTGTCAAGGTTTATTTTGGCTTGAGGTTTCAGAAGTTTCAGCCTGTAATGAGGTGGTACATTGTGGTGAGGTAAGAGGCAGGGGAAACTGCTTACCTCATGGTGGTCTGGAAGCTGAGAGAGGAAGGGGCCAAGTTCCAACAAGGCTGTTCTTCAAGGAGAGCCCCCAGGGACCTGAATTCCTCCAGCTCCTGCTTCCTAGAGGTTCTGCCACCCTCAACCAGGACACACACTAGTGAGTAAGCCTTTCATGAATGAGCCTGTGGGGAACATTTAAGATTCAAACTGTAACACTGCATTATTTTTTGGGTGCTTTTTTAAAATTTAAGATTAAAAAGATACAGAAAAAGAAATACAAACAAACAACAAGAAACCAAATATAACAATACAGGTTTACAAAACAAGATGATAGGAATTTGGCAATGGTTGTAATATTGCATATTATCTTCAAGAGGGTTGCTTAGACTAACAAAGACATGTAAAATTGATATAAACATGAGTATTAACTTTTCTTTTCCAATAACTAACACAATTAGTAGTATAGTCATTTTAGCTATCATATATATATATATATATATATATATATATATATATATATATGTTACAGTGAATACTGTGTAAGGGTAAGAAACTGTTCAATAAGGAAAAGTAACTGGAATAGGGAAAAGAGTAAAGAAGCAAGAGAAAAGAAAAAAAGCCACTGCACTATTTTTATAAAACTGCTGTTGGGCACAGTGGTGCACGTCTGTAATACTAGCACTTGGGAGATTGAGGCAGGAGGATCAATATAAGTTCAAGACCAGCCTCAGCCACATAGTGAGTTGAAAGCTAACCTGAATCATAGAGCAAGACCTTGTCTCAAAAACAAAACAAAACTTGCTGTCACTGTTATAGTGATGAATTTCTCTTAGAATTTAAGGCCAGGCCCCACTCTTCAAATGATATTCTCTGTCTTTATCTATCTATCTATCTATCTATCTATCTATCTATCTATCTATCTATCTGCCTGTCTGTCTGTCTATCATCTATCTATCTATCTATCTATCTATCTATCTTTCTATCATTCTATCATTGTATCTATCTGAGACAAGATCTTGCTATGCAGTTCAGACTGGTCTTGAGCTCACTTTGTAGCCCAGGCTGGTCTTGAACTTGTAATGAACCTCTTACCTCAACCTCCCAAGTGCTGGGATTACAGGAGTGTGCCACCATGTCTGGCTTCTATTTATTTTTGTTTTTGCCTTTTACATGTTGAATATTAGTGAAAGGCCTATACTTAAACTGTATTAGGAAATTCAGAGCTCAATTGTATTAAGTAACTTTAATTTTCCTCAGACAGCTTTTTGGAATGTGGGAAATGATAAATAATAGAGATAGTGTTGTCATTATAAATTATCACTTTGTACCACAACTGACAAAATAGTTAACAATTGGTAATCTTCATTGTGTCTGTAGTATTTTGTTTCTTTGTTTTGAAGTGCTGAGGATTGTTTGTGTTTGTATGTATGTATGTATGTATGTATGTAACCATAGTTACTGGTGGATAGAAAAGGAGAGGGAGGAAAGTTTTACTGTTTCTATAATATTAGATAGTTAAATTGTTCTCACAGTTTTATTTGGAAATAGGTTGACACAGAGACCAACCTGGATACCTCATAAGCTTGTTGAGCAGTTTTTAGGTAAAAAGATCATTTTATACTGATTGTCTCATCAGAAGCTCATGCTAAATGTATTAAAACACAAATGTTTGTTTTTCTTTGATTTCTTTTTTATCCTTGAATCTTATCCATCATTGATAAAATAAAACAAGAGTTTAATGAACGCCTGTGTCCTACCAATTACCAGCTCCTGGGCAGTCTTGTTTTAGTTGTGCTTTAACCCAGTGGTGGTGAACTGTCGATGTCGCTCCCGGCCTGCAGGAAGAACACGCGACAGATTCTGATAGTGTGCAACCTTGCCTTTATTTATCTCCGCGTGGGCCCCGCGAGGCCTCCACTCTGCCACCAGCCCTTTCTCGCCGGTGGACTTTTTCTATCTCTCTCTGTGCTTCCTCTGTGCTTCTCTGTCTCGTGGCGGGAGAGGCATTCACTTTTATAGGGTGACAGTGGCCAATCAGTTCAAAGCGCGCGATGCGGGCTAATTGGCTAACATCAGTTGTTGCTAGGCAGACTATCTTACAGAGCGGGTTGTTTAAGTCGCCAGCGCAATCAGGGGGCAGGAAGCAGGCGCCAACTTGACTCACTCGATGGGAGGGGCAATCTAGCTCAGGCTCCGCTCCCACCCACAGGCCCTACGTCCGCCAAGTAAGGCGACCGGTGTCGGCCGTGGCTCCCAACATCTCCCCCTAATTTATTTACTTTGAATGAATGTATGCATCGCAGCCCGCCCTGGATCGAGTGCAGAGGCTTATGCCCTGTGTTGAGGCCCACCGTAGGCCCTTGGCTTGGACCCTGGTCGGCCGCCCCCGGGTCTGCCAAGGCCTTGAGACCCTCGTCCTTTTTCCAGGGCCAGGAGTGAACTGGACGGAACCTGGATGCACATAGGCATGCACTCATGCCCCTCCGTGTGATCCCCTCGGAGAGGCATCTAGATCTGGTCAGATTCTAGTAATCCAGCGGCTTTCGTGCGCCATGGGGTAGGGCCTGGCTTAGGTCGAGTCGTGCTGGGGAGGCACGCTCTTACCCG